CATAGTGCGCTGGTGTGCAGTTCTTCACCGCCACCCACACAGCCGGCCCAAGTCAGTGATAGTGATAATTATGGTGAGGATATGGACTTATATGGACTTTGGGGAGTTTGACAAAGAGGCCCTGCAAGCCTCTGTGGTGGATAGTGATACAATTGATACAAGTGACACAGGTGAGGGCCAATAATCTGCCCTCTGCCTCGGAACCAACCGCCCATCCCCGTGTGCCCAGCCATTTTTTCTACTAATGTAAGTGTTAAAAAACCTAATATTATTGATATTTCTCTTAATTATTAATTGTGTGTGCATACCATCATAAAGTTAAGATAATATTTTTACTACAACATAGTTGTGTGTCGTCAAAAAGTGGAGTTTGGGGATCGGCCCGGACTCCATTTCAATTAATCCCATATGTTATGTTATTCACTTTACGCGTTTCTCACTTTACGTGGGACCCTCCGGGTTACATTAACCGCGTAAAGTGAGGGTTAACTGTATACTGTACATACATACAGGTGCTCCTCTACTTACGAACGAGTTACATTCCTGAGGCTTGCTTGTAAGTCCAACTTTACTCTTGTAGATACAAAACATATTGTAAAATATGAAAAGATTATGGATATTTAGTACAGCTATACCCTTTAATACAGCCTTAAAACCTGGCTCACTCTTCTCCTCTTAGGTTATGTTTATTCTATCTGGAATTTTCTTCAAAATAATCCAATCTCATCCACATTAAACACCTGTTCTGGCAGGTAACTCCCCTCAGTGATGATGTTTGTATCTCTGAAAGTTTGTTACAGATATACACCATTAACATCGTTTCAGTCAATGTCATTAAGAAAATTAAAATATGTATGAAAATGGTAAATGTATATTAATTTTAAAAATTCACAACAAAGGCAGTCAATGCCTGACTGTGATAACAGCTGGCTGTGTAGGTAACCAGTGTGGGTGCCCTATTTTTTTTTATTGTTTGTTGGTTGGTTGATGCTCTTCCAACATTCATTTAAAATCCAATTATAAATTTATTTGAGCCCTAGAACAATGAGTGCATTATGCACCACTACTGGTTGTGCTCACGGAAAGAAGGGAAAAGTGTTACATTAGAATTTAAATTAGATGTGGTAAAAAAATTTGAAGAAGAACAGTGAGCTGTGGACATAACAAGAGCTGTTGATTTGCAGCCTACAACTGTAGGTAAGAACAAGTTGTGGAAATGCAGAAAATATTGAATCATCTTTTAAAAGTGTTATTCGATTATCTGCTTCAAAGTTAACTCGTAACAGAAGTGGCATTATGGAAAATAGGGAAGAATGCTGAACATGTTTTTGGTCTTTATTCAGTAATTGCGTGAGAAAATTTTTACCGGAAATGTACCCAAGGAACTCAACCCCTATTTATATTGTGTCTTTGGTAAAATCGTTTTCACTTAATGTCGTTACACTTAAAGTCGTGGTTTTCAGGAACCTAATAACGACGTTAATGTGCGAATTGGTGTACAGTTGGTAATATGTTTCTGAGTTCAGGGCTGAATAACCTGGCTGTCTCTGTAACCATCCCAACTGAGTTAACAGGTTATTCAACAGGTGACGGCTTAATAGCCACAGCTATTTGGTTGTTTGTTGTTGTGTTGTTTATCAACCCATAGTCAAGCTTCTCTCTGAAAGCATGTGCTGCCGCTTGATCCTCCAGTCGCTTGGTGTTAAAACCTCTTCTAGAGACTTGTTACCTTCGTCATTTTAGGGCGATTTGAAGGGAGAGTTGGCACTGATGAGCCAATGATCTGTGTCAGTGGTCTGAGCCACGCATATCTCGGATGATGAGAACATCTCGGCAATCTCTTTCTCTGACAGTAATATAGTCAATGAGATGCCAGATGCCAGAACCCTTGAACTTATCTGCCTGCCTAAACAAGGTGTTGGAGATAGTGAGGTTGTGTGCAGCACACTGCTGAGGGGAATAGGCTTTTGGGATTACATTTGCCCACTCCATTTCTCCTTATTTTTTCCAGCCATAAGTCAGCATCTCTGTCAACTCTGGTATTGAAGTCACCAAGGAGCACAATCTTATCTTCTCTGGGGATAAAGGTTAGCACTCTATCAAGGTTAGCATAAAAGGCCTCCTTGATGTCATCCTCTCCATCCAGTGTTGGGGCGTATGCACTGATGAAGAAGGCATAACGTAAGTAATTTTGTGGGACTCAGTGCATCATAAGGTGCTCATTGATCCCAACAGGCATTTCAGTTAGCCTGTGTAGGATGCATTGACGGATGACAAAGCTAACTCAATAAATGCGGTGTGTCTCTGCATCTGGCTTATCCTTCCAGAGTAAGCCCATTCTGCGAGTTGACCCTCATCTGGGAGCTGGGATTACACTAATGGCTGCTGTGTTGATGTTATACCTAGGCAGCTCTTTTGCAGTTCTTCTTTTGGATTGCTCATTTGTTCTAGTATCCAGAAGGGTCCTGTGTTTTTGACTGCATAAGGGTGACCTTATTGGGTGCAGTTGCCTAGTCAGGTTGGTTCTTTAAGCAGGTTATGTTTAGGGCACCTTTTCTAGTCCCTCCCCAAGTGGGGTGAGCAGAGTGGGTCCTGGAAAGGGCTGCCCTGTCACACAGACAGGACCGGATTGCACTTCTCCCTAGATACCAGTGGATAAATGACCATCTTATCTATGCCACCCATGTGCAGAGTTGTGACTAGAGACTCCCAACAGTCATCTCTGCCTGTCCCTATTCCCACTTGTCTGTTGCCATTGGACTTTTGGGGGTTTTGGAGTTCTGATGATGATGGAAAGTATGATGAGCTGGATGATGGCTGCACGTGAGTTGATTATGTGTTGAGGCAGGAGCTCAGGCTCTCCCTTTTCCTGATCCAGTGGTACAGGTAGCTGCAACAACTGGAGGGAGAGTTTAAATGGACTACCAATAGCCCTCTGGTGTAATGGTCAGCATGCTCGCCTCGCAAGCGAGTGGACCCGGGTTTGATCTCCGGGCAGGCTGAAACTATAGGTTTCTTTATGCCATTTTCCTCTGTCTACCCTGCAGTAATTGGGAACCTGGATGTTAATCGATTTGCGGATCGTATTCCGGGGTAATGGGTAGCCAGTGCAGTTGACAAGTTGTCCTGTCCTCTCAGACTATTCCTTGACACTGGGTCATGCAGCTCGTTAACTTAGGGTGTGGTTGTAGTGTTGGCAAAAGCTTACACCTTAAATAAAATCATACCTAGGTGGCCCTAGGGCAGGCCATCCTCGATTTTGAGGGGCTTCCATTATTATTTTACCTCCGAGGCCCACTGCTGCTCCGAGATCCCCGGTGGTCTAGCCTGGGCCGCGAGGCACCCAGTTACCGTGTGTTGCCACAAGGAGGCACAGCAGGAGTCTTGATGATGAAGAAGTTGTGTATTGGTAGGAAGACTTGTGCAAGGCTGCTTCCCTGATCACCACAAGAGCTTGCCAGTGGCATAGCTGAAAACGAGAGGAAGCATGCCGTGCCTACTCCTTAACGCTAACATAATATTGTCACACTAGACATATTACACTACCCTGTGGAGAACACACACACACACACACACACAAAAAGCTACTCACACACTGTAATAGTTTCCATTTATTTTGTTATTAATGTCCCTTTAAATTGATTGGTGAAAATTGATTTTAATAAAATAAAATACAGTAATCATAAGTCAGTTGTATTTTTAAACAAAATATACAGTGCTGACAATCAATTTCTTACCTTATCCTATGATGACTGTAACTGAGCGCAGTACAGCTATATTGTTGTAATGCAGCTGGGCTGAAGGGACCACACAGACCATGTCACGCCACTCCACAACAATAACAAATGATCTTCATGATTTGCAAGATTTTTTTTTTTTTTTTTTTACAAAGTTTTTGTCACATGACATTAGTAGCCAATCGTAGCTCATGAGCACTCTGGGCCTACCTACTCACCCAAGTGCTCGGCACATGTCAGCACTTGATGCAATCGCTCAGAAATTCATTCAGTTGCCCGGAATAGAGAGACTTTTCTTAGAATGCTGAAATTTTATTTTCCGGGTAATGGAAAGTTGCATGGATTGAAGATTCCAGCTAATGAGGAGATTACTATAGGATGTTTCTGATGTACTGTACTGTATGTTTACAAGTTGGCAGCATGTGAGTACATACTGTTTATTTCAATCTGGACATTTAATATTAATCTCCCTATGTTACCTCCTAATGTCTTTCTCACACCATATTACTGATATAATTTGAGTAAATATACTACAGTACATTATTTTGTTTATTTTACCTGAAATCAAAGGACATTACATTTTTTGCCTCAAGTTGAGTGTAAAAAATTATTATAGGTACAAAATAATGCTTCAAAAAAATTTGTGGATAAATACTTAATTTTAATTTTTTCTTCATATTTTTCTCCCAGGTGTCAGATGTTTTTGAAAGCTATTAGTGTGTTATGGAGCCTCTGGTTTTGCCTTGATTAAATAGTAGTAAAAATGACCAGATACCATTTTCATATTTTACTGGAGAAATTACTCTCCTAGGGGATGCAACTTGGAAACAAAATATGCATCCATAAGTAATCCGGCTCTTATTTTAAAGTGCTCTCCATGCTTTCCATTAAAATTGGTAATTGTTCTATACTCCAGCTTTTAACTTGCTCTGGGCTACTGTTCAACTCTAATTGTGCTCACTTTGAGTGTAGCAGTTCTCATCTGACTGTACGGTGTATACTGTAAATATAACTTTTTTTTTTAGTTATATACGTCTGTCTTATTTAAAATGATCAGAATGACATTTTTAGTAGTATGTGGTTAATTGAAGTTACAGTATCCTTGAAATGTCCATTACAGAAGGGATGGATAAAATTTACAGGGACAAAAAATTATGATAGAGCTTTGTTTTTACTTTGATGCAACAGATTTATAATTTAAGTACAGTATTATTGTTTTTTTTTAATTTGAACTTCCTTCTTTCTTTTTTTTTCCATTTTTAGGAAGGTGTTGGTTGATAAACAATTAGAACAACCCATTGGCTTAGCTGTACATGAAGACTTCCTCTACTGGGTGGATCCAGAATTATATGTGGTAGAGCGAGTCAATAAATTCACTGGCCAACAAAGGGAGGAAGTGCAAGGCCGGATATCACACCTGTCTGACATCATTGCAGTAACACCCTACCTATCACAGGTAATATAGGCTTAAACGCACACACACACACACACACACACACATATATATATATATATATATATATATATATATATATATATATATATATATATATATATATATATATATATATATATATATATATATATATATATATATATATATATATATATATATATATATATATATATATATATATACAGTGACCCCTCGTTAACGAACTCAATCCGTTCCAGAAGGTCGTTCGTTCGTTCGTTAACCGAAAAGTTCGTTAACCGAAACCATTGTTTCAATGGGTTTTTGGGTAATTGGTTCCAGCTCACCGAAAATTTCCTAAATTCAACAAAAATGGTAGAAAAGTTCACTTACTTTGAGGTGTGTATGTAGAAGGCTCCTGGATGATGATGATGATGATGGGATTTAGAATGGGGGTGGAGGAGAAGGAAGAAGAGAAGGCATTGGGGTGGAAGAGAAGTCACCCCATGGCGCCATTTCACCCATAAAATTTTAGCTCTCTTGGTGTAATTCAAGATTATTTTCTTTAAATCAACACTGCACTGCATTATATATTGTCAATATGTAAAATATATTTCAAAATGACCAATAATTTGCTTGGAAACACAGAAAAAAGCGTTTAGTTGAAGAGAGTCTCAAGCAAGATGTTACCTCCAGTGAAAACAGAGACTAACTCCTGTTTGCTGTGTTAAGAGGCTGGATGCCGCGCATTAAACTAGTCACTTTACCTTCAATTATGTTCAATAATTGTTAAAATGACTAAAAAATTGAATATTAAACTTTTAAAATTATTGAATAGTATAAACTTCTTGATATTTACTAAAATAGTAAGGAATTTAAGCCCTAGAACCGATTAATGTATTGGCGGACTGATACTAAAGCTGGTTGCCCGGTCAGTGCAAGTGAAAACATGTTGAGGTCGGTTCGTAAGAACTTCGTTAACCGAATTTTTTTTCGTTAACCAAATTGAAGATCCTTATGGAAGGCAGTTCGTTAATCGAAATTACGTTAAACGAGGGGTCACTGTATATATATATATATATATATATATATCCACAAGAAAACACGAAGTTCCCAAGCGCTTTCGTGTAATTCACATCTTCAGGGGTAAGTACAGACTTAGGAGTAATACTTGACAAGGCTAATGTATACCTGACTATGGACAGCTGCTGTACATAGAGATGGCATGGTCAATTTTTTATTAAGAAGATTAGTAAGGGTCACTGCCTTATGACCGGAACATTGTGGACACCTGCTGTCCCCTAGGGACTTGATCTCACTCTCCTCTTCTGTATATATTAGCCTTGTCAAGTATTACTCCTTTGTCTCTACTCACACATATATATATATATATATATATATATATATATATATATATATATATATATATATATATATATATATATATATATATATATATATATATATATATATATATATATATATATATGTGTAATATGTAATGTGTAATATTCCTTGTCTTTTGGTTATACCCAAAATTCTAATGCTGTACAAATATTTGGAATTATAATCAAATAATGTGGAATGTATCAAACATCTGTTGTAAATTAAAACTGCACAGACTGCCATTCGGAGAAAAATTAATGGATGATGTTAATGCTTTTCATGTCCGTGTAAAGATTGATTCATAATTTTTCCTTTCAAAGATGATGAAAGAACACCCATGCCACAATGGAAGTGAGTGTAGTCATTTGTGTCTTGAGAAAGATCAGGAACAGCGGTGTGCATGTCCTGCAGGCAAGTCACTAGCAGATGACTTAAAGACTTGCATCAATCCCCCTAGCTGCCACCCTGAAGAATTTCGCTGCCACTCAGGATCAGTTGGTTGCATTCCGCTCAAATGGAGGTGAGCGCCCTTCTTACTATTATGTCATTATTCACTGCATCTTTTCCATTTAGCAATTTCTCCCATGCAGCACTTTCAAATACAGTGGAGTCTCATTTTGCGTGGGAATATTATACTGATATATGTCCGTGCATTGGAAATCCGTCCAAGCAATGCCATTTAACACGCATTAAAATCACTATACTGTACTGGAATTGTCAGACCTTTACTCAAGAATGACTTTGAGTAACAGGCACAGACTTCTGAATCTCCAGGTGGGTGATGCTGACAGCAGACAATATTTTCTCCCAGTATTTCCTGACTTCTGATGGTGGATTTGTTGACTTTATAATGGCATGCCATGTCGCATATCCTCGTCCCAACTTAAGAGTTTCTTCAAAATTTCGACCTCGGCATAAGAGATAGCCTGCCGCAACCCACCTCATTTGCCCTGAGGCCCACGAGTGTTCCCGTCTAGGTCAGCCATGGTAACACCCAGGTAGCAAGGATGGACAGAGTGAGGCGCACTGCAAGCAGGAGCGAGCAAGAGTACATAATGACACCCGAGTTTAAGTGTCTACTTCGGAAAGTTACAGGAAGCCAAAATTGCCCCAAAACGAAGTAAACGCCTCCCCATAACACATTTATTTCCTCTATATGCTTTTATTTTTCTTATTTTATAGTTTTATATTATATTTTCCATACTTCTAAGCCACATTAGAGCATTGTAATGATTGATTCTTAAATTTATAGTTTCATTACAAGTAACAATATACAAGGCGGCTTGGCTCACGAGTCAGCCACGTAGTTTATAGCCAAGGCCTTGGCTAGAACTGCCTCCATAGATACACGTTCACTTCTCAAACATACACACCCATGCTCTTCATTCTTTTAGTTTATGATTTTATATTATATTATCTTTATTTCTAAGCTATATCATATATATAGAATAGAGTAATTGTTAAAAAAGTCCTTTTTCTGGGACCCGTGCCGGGAGGTGGCTGGCTGACATGCCAGTCAGCTGTGGCCTGTGAGAGATGGTACATTTAATGCTTGTTGCCATTGTTATATATAATGAAAATGTAAAGGTTGTGGAAAAAATCATTGCAATACTCTAAAGTGATTTAGAAAGAAAGAAAATATAATATATAACTATAATATAAGAATTATGAAGAGCACGGGCGTGTATTCTGTGTGAGAGGATCGTAAGTGTGGAAGCAGTGGGCAGTTTGTCAATAGCGCATCTGGCGACTCAGCTGGTTAGGTCTATTTCAGAGTAAATGCACACCACACAACCACCTCTGCTTTACATTTACTTTATCCTCTTTGCCACTGACTGTCAAGTTGATTTCAGCAGAGAATATTTCGGAAAAAGATTGAAAGCATAAAAAAATTAAAAGTTATACAAGATGGTTAATACATGTTGTCATTGTTACCTACAGCATACCCTTACAATTCGGGGATTTTTAATTTGTGGCCTTTGATTATTCGTGGATGACACCCTGGATGTAACCAAGAATGCCTGTGGGTAGCTTTAAAGTTGCCGGCATTTTCACGGCTGGGATGGAGACCCCGCAAGTTTTATGGCGTCCCGCAACGTGTCTCCCTTGTCCCAGGCAGCTGGGCCATATGCACTCACTCCGCCTCAGTCTGTTAAACACTTGTCTGTTTCGCATGTGTGCTACTCTGCTCTCTTAGTAACTATGCTCATCATGCTTGTGATGGCTCTCAAACCCCCTCAACCACCTTCATCCAGCTGCAGGAAGGTGCCCAACCAAGTGAAGAGAGAAAAGGTCATGTATTTCTCCCATATGTATGCCTGGCAATGGGAGCTGGTAAGGGGAGTGAGCGACTGCTAGTTAGTATGTCGTCTACATTTGTAACTCCTCACTCCCTGCAATATTTCACTGGATTTACTGCTACAGTAAGCCCCCATTGAACAAAAGGGTTAGGTTCCACTAAAATGCCTTCATTAGGTGGATTATGTTCATCGAAACCATTTTTCCCATCTAAATTAATGTAATAAGGGGGGTGTGTTCCTGTACTAAGCTTTGTGATAGAATAATATACTGTGCTAAACTCTGTGACAAAATAATTGCAACATCAAAATACTGTAGATAAAAACAATAAAACATGTAAAACATCACCTTCAGCGTTACCCCAAAGTAGTGTCAGATGGTGTTTTGCTGCTTTAAACCCTGGTGCTGTTTTTTCTTCTTGGTCAGTGTATGTTCTGGAGGGCATTCACTTCCAATAGAGTCCAGTTTCATCAATGTTGGCCACCTGTTTTGCACTACAGACACCACACTTCATAATTTCTTTTAATGTTTCTGGGAAACTTCTTGCAGCCAACTCATCCGCACTGGCTGCTTCACCCGTCACACGAATATCATGAAGGTTTGCACGTTTCTTAAACCTATTGAACCAGACACGACTAGCAGTAAAAGTCTGCAGCCTCTGAACTCTGCCCAGGCTGTCTTTGACGCAACCTTTCCATAGTGACCGAATCTTCTCCTGGATCACAGATAAGGAGAGAGAGGCATGTGCTGTGTGCGGTCCTCAATCCACACTAAGAGAAGTTGCTCCATATTCTCCATGACATTATCAGGACTATGACACAGTATCATTGCACCAGTAGGGGTCACTGATTAGCCAACCTCTTTGAACCTTGGTGCGTTCTATATAATTGTCCCCACTGTAGACACACTAAGTCCCAGAACACAGCCAATTTCTGTTGGACCCTGACCACTCTCATTACGGTGAATAATGTCCAATTTTAAGGCTAGAGTCGCCCTCTTTCTCCTCTGGGCTGGTGTACCTGCAGGTGCTGAAGTGCCAGATCCCCTACCAGACATTGTTGAGAGAACACGGTACTTGTACACTGTAAAATATTGTAACAGGCATCACAAGCGTGAATTGAAGCTGTGGCGCCAAACAAAGACGCCTCTAGGCTGTTGCGTAGTACCGAAAACACGTGTTATTGTGCATTGATGTTGCATTCCCAAAGCAGATCAAAGAACATTTTAGGCCCCTGGGCGCTGGTTGACTGATCAGTTGCACTGGACACAGTTGTCCGAGGAGGTGGGAAACATAAGCAGTTGTTGGTTGTTGTTTGTGGGAATATTTCATTCACTCTAGTAATGATACAATGTTTCTTATTATGTTATCGTAGGTAAATTCATGGTTTACGTAATTTGTTTATCACTGGGCCCATCACCGTTTTCAAATTAGACTACAAGATATGTATTTCTCTCGTACGCATTTCGATCATACGCCTGGCAACGGGTGTGAGAAGAGTGATTGCTAGCTGAGCATATTCTGCACTAACCCCCCTTTCCTTCCTGCCATATTTCACTGGATTTACTCTAAGTTACATAAATTTTGAATTGTGTAGTGAGAATAACAAATAAACAATGTACAGTACTGTACAATATTGTACTATCATGAATGACAGTCATAGTAGAGTGAGTAGGGGGCAGTGTCGGTGAGATGCAGTGGGTGGGAGGGAGGGAGGAAGATGGGAAGTGGGTGGGAGGCAGTGGATATCGTGCTAATCTGGTCTGGCTAAAGCAAAGTCATCACTGAAATTATTATTTAGTTGGTGATAATAGAGGTAGTGGTGGTGTTGATGGCAATCATGGAGCTGGTGGTGGAGGAGGGATGCATCAATCAGTTTGTTGGTAACACTGGCTGCAGCCACAATTGAACAGCTGATGTGTACCCACAATATTGAGTGTAAGTTTAAATGAACGTCATATTCCTTCTACATTACTTTACATTAATTTTAAATTGTGGAGTAAGAATAACAAATAAGTAATGTATAGTATTGTACTATCTTGAATGACGGTCATAGAAAGAGTGAGAGAGGCAGTGGGTGGGAGGGAGGAAGGTGAAATTATGATTTAGGTGATGATTGTAGAGGTAGTGGTGGTTATGGAGCTGGTGGTGAGAAAGCAGAAAGGTTGGGGTGACATACCTTTCATAATAGTAGAACTTTTTTTGTTAATTGGCAAAGTGGTAGTAAAACTTGCTTTCTTAATAGTGTGGTTTTGTTCAAAGGATTAACGTTCAGTGGGGGGTCTCACCGTTTACAGTATTAGTGTTTACTGATAGAATAGTGATTAATTGTGGCATTGTAGCTAGGTTAGCTGGTCATTGTAACCACCAGGCTGTGAGGTGCTATGGTTTTTTCAGCTTGTATTTTTGGGTAGATATAAATAACTTTCTTCATTTATTTTTACTCAGTTACAGACACACACCATCTTGAATACATATTGTGAAAAAGGTAAAAGAAATAATTATGTTAATGCTAAAAAATTTATGTCAACTGCAAACAATGGGATGTTTATACTGTACTCATATTAATTGTAATCTTGCAAGAGTTCCAGCAATGTAAGTTTTATTCTGCTAAGTCAAGTCAATGACATTTTATAAGCAAAAAATTCAACTCCCTCTACTGTATAATGCTGAGTCCCTGACCCCTCCCCCGTTTACCGACAACCACTCGGTAATCACCCCTCTTGGCTGCCATCACCCTACCTCCCCTTCCCTCCTCTCCCCTCCCAGCCAGAAGGTGATCAGGATTTTTAGGGTGAAGGTAGTTTTAGGCTTAAAATTTTTCTCTTAAAAAATTTCACAGACTTGCCTTAGCAGAATATAACTTGCATTGCTGGAATTCTTGTAAGATAGCGATTAATTTGAGTATAAATATCCCATAGTTTGCACTGGATATAAAATTTTTAGTCCTTTAGCTTATTACATATGAGTACAAATTGAGTACAGTAATATGTTGTTCAACATTATAGCTTTTTAGTAATTAACTAAGTACATTTGCATACAAGTTGTAATAATTATAATGATTTTTCCACAACTTTTATAAATTCAGTTGCCTCAGAAGATGTCTTGAATACGAAAGCTAAGGTGCTCCAGTGTTTCCCTTTTCCCTGTGTGGTTTTATGAAGATTTATCTTGTCCATGTTTCCATTATGGATGTACAGTCGGCCACAGGAATAAGTATACAC